GTTTCTATGTCCTTGATATACTATGAACTTCTTATATAGCACGATCATTAAAATACATGTTGATCATTGCGGTCAAGAAAAATGTGAAGATGCTCTAGAGATTGAGTCACGCATCCTTAGATGAAGTAAGATAATGAGTCCAGGCAGTTCAAAATAAAGAATTTTGTCGCCCCTTTCGAATGCTTTTTCGATGCACTGTTACCGGCTCCGGCACTGAAAGGGAGTGGAAATATTTCATGAATCACCACAAAGATTGAGCCCGTAAGTGCAATTTCACTGCAGTCCGTGCAGCCATTCATGCTGTGCGTCTGGCTTGCGAAATCCGGGCATACATACAGACAGGCGTCCGCACTTAATGTAGTATAGTAGACAAGTGGTTTCCGCTTTTGAATTGAATCTCTGGACATCATTCATGGTCAAAGCTCTGCTATGTAGAATATTGCAGTTATCGCCTAATCATTCCATGGAGCCATCATGTAATGATCAAAACTGACTGGCATACGTCGCTGATGGTGTGGGTCAACAGCTACATACAGCAAAACATCGCTTAATCCTGTAAGGCTCAATCTGATAACTCAGTTATAATGGAGAAGTTAAGTGAGTCCTGGTCCAAGCTATAGATCTCATATGCGACCACCCATGTTCCATTTTACTCTTTTTACTCTCGCACGTCGGATGTGGGATCGACTGGTGGTAGCTGAAACACATCGCAACGGAATGGTCTACCTTGCCAAGTGTGGCAGCCGCCCCGAAGTAGGCGGAAGTTAAAACGTGACACCCAGTACCAGGAACTGGGTGCTCTGTGTGCGCACGCAGTGGCGCCGCATCGCCTTAATATGAATGCGTAATAGTCAGGAGGTCCCTAGGCATGAACATTCTGAAATTTGCTATTTTAAAAGTTGTGAAAATCCTTCATTAGGCCACTGTAACTTACATCGACTAAGAAATGCTCTTTGCATATGTATGGAAAACTCTTGTAAAGGATTTCGGGAGCATGGTAAGCCGGCGCAGGCTTTATATCGTATTGCCGTCTTATTAATATTTGATATTTGTATTCAAGAGGTACATATCGTCAGCGGGACCAAGCAGCCGAAAAAAACTCAAAAGGGTTGCAAGATGATGTCAGCTCCAAGACCAAAGGTGCTGGGTGATTTTGAATCAATTGATTAGGCAGTAATATTACACACACCGTTATATTCTCCTGTCTTCAATATAACGCGGCTGCCTAACCGAGCTTGACCTGGCACGATTGTACGGCATGAAGATGAGTCGTGCCTCAGCACCCCGTTGAGCCTTCGATGTGGCACTATCCCAACTGACAACGAAAATGTCCATTAACAAGCACATTCAGCACCAAACGGCGAACACTTTATAGAAAGCGTTCTTCATCACACCCCCTAACTGCCCTCACCGGCAGCCCATGAGGCGCACCACCGTCCGACGGCCGTCAGCCACCTCTCCGAGCCCGCCTGGTGGCGCCGGATCTCCATCCGCTGCGCGCCACCTCTCGACGGGCGTCAGCCACCTCTCCGCGCACGCTGGGCAGAACCGGATCTCCTTTCGCGGCGCGCCACCACCCGACGGGCGCCGGCCACCTCTCCGCGCCCGCTGGGTGGCGCCGGATCTCCATCCACGGCGCGCCACCACCCGACGGGCGCCAGCCACCTCCGCGCGCGCGCCCGCCGGGTGGCGCCGATCTCCGTCCGCGGCGCGCCTCGGCCGGCACGGTCCCGACACCGACCCGTCGATGGACTTTCCTGTTTACCGGGTATCGCGCCCTCTGTGTAATTGATAACGACCGGCTTGGCGGCGGCCGGGTGTGATACAGTGACGTAACGGCCCTATGATTACAGCGCGCACCTCTTCGCCGCACCACCGCGCCGGAAGCGGTCGCTTCCGGTCGGCGCGCGCCGGCGGCTCGGTCTTTTGGTGGCGCCTCGCGTTACGGGCGCGCGTCAGAATCGCGGATCAGGCTTGATTCGTGTTGCGGCAGGACTGGACGGCGAGGGCTGATGGCCTAATTGTAGAGCAGGTGATAGCCGCGCTGTACCAGCGCTCTGACTCACGGCAGGTGAATAGGCTGGTTGGTTCCAAGTAGAAGCCACGGCCGCCTGGCGCCGGTGATGACTTATGGCGAGGGGTTCCGACACTCAATTTCTTGTGCTGCTGGTGTCCGCCACAAATTAGGATTGTGGTCATCTTGGCGAATGGAGGTCCTGCGTTGCAACACAGGGCTCAATCAAGCTAGGCCTGGGCTCTGTTGCGCCCTCGTGCAATATATTGTGCCCTGATGTGTTATTTGATGCATGATTCTTCTACCTCACATTGCTCAAATGCTGAGCAAGTCGTTTGGGTAAAGTTAGTTTCGGACCTTGTAAGTAATACGAGCATGTATCGGCTTCCCCAGCAAGCCTGGCCATGCACGATTTCTTTTTTTCTCGCGATGATTGATGTCGCTTGAGAGAATCGACTAAAATTAACTGCCCGAACGCATGGTTATGTCTTTTATAAATGAATAAAAAATCAACAAACGGAACAACTTCATAAAAGAGCATGTAACGGCAGGCTGTTACGCATTCCTTTTTCTCCGGTTGGCACATAACAGCACGAGCAGCTCTCTGGTCTCTGAAGCGAGACCGCTTGCACCCACACCAACCAGTCCTCGGAATAAAGCATGCTGTGGTATCCTGCCGGTCCCATGCACTTCTGCGCCCGCCAGAATTGCATGCATTCGGAATATTAGGAATACCAGATGTCTTTTTCGTGCTTTTACATTCAAAATCGGGCAGTTCAATTCCAAACCTTCGTATTAAGGCAACTTTTAGCCGACCAATCTATTCTGGTATCTACCCCACAATGAAATTGCATAGCATCAACACGCGTTCAGGCATGGGGATGAGTCGTTTTGGCTGCACAGATGAGTTCCCTTCTGACAATTGGTGTAGTTTCCTCAATTATATGCTTCGTTCCAAAGGCCGCATTTCACTGCCTTCTCGGCAGTCTGTAACCACATAAACAAGTGTCATTGTCCCTTATCGCAGCTGACGCCAAAACAAGGGATCTGAGCACCAATGACAAAGTGATTGTTAGTTTTGCCGTCATTCGTAGTGAAGCTGTGAAATCTCCCACCCAATCTCACGGTGCCTTTTTCTTTTGCCAGCTGTGTTCTCTTAAGGTACAATGTTCTTTCGCGTTTCGCTGTTAACGACGAGTTTTGCTTTTAAGCCAGTGACGCTGACCAGTGTGCTGCGACCACGCCTGTATTACGGTGAGAACGTAAGTCGAGAATATAGAGCACAGATGCGTGTCGCCGTGAGTTGAAAAAGTACAAGCGTGGCGCTCTGTACGTTGTTCTGCATTGTCCAAGTCTGGGAAGATGTACTTTGAAATAGCACACTTCTTGCTCCGTTGTGAACATAAGCGTACACAATTTTTGTATACACACAAACCAGGTGGTGCCGTCGCTGATTGGCCTCGTTGAGAATGTCGCTCAAATGTTTTCATCAGTTTTCGTTGTGAGAGGAAATCAATGAAGAGAAAATTGATGAAGAAAATATATGAGAAAATTGATGGGAATGAATCAGAACGAGTTGAGACAATCAATGTGTTTTTTTATTAAAATTTATGTTTTTTTCTGTCTCGTTCCGTTTCATTCCGCTTCGTTTCGTTGCAGATCCGCACGTTTTTCTATGTTTGCAGAATTCTGCTACAGCTGTGTCGTTACAGGCTTAACTTCATCGTACTGCGTCCGATGAAGGGAGCTGTAGGGGAATATATTAATGCGGTTTTGAAGCATTTAAGCATTCTCTTGCTGTTCTGTTGTTCTCAAATCGCCTGCACTGCTCCGAAAGCGTTTGTTTTTGACGATGATGTACCAAATTAGTTCGTTACAATGTGCCCGTTTCCTATTTTTACTCGAGTCTGAAGTGCTTGTTAGCGAATCTTTGAAAATCTTTCACAACCGATTTACATGGGAAATGTATATTCATGTTGATATATGTACATACAAACATCCATGCATTCACACCTGTACGCAATGTCCTCAATGAATCTAGCACTCATGCGATTAGCTATAGACCATCAAAAATAAATACAGGTATCTTGAGAGCTACAACTATTTGGCCAATTTTTACACTGTGTTCAGTTTGGCCGTGTCCAAGCTTTTCTGCTCATTTGGCACATCTGCGTAAGAGCCAGACACACTTATACCAGTCTATCTTTAAATAATACCTACCTATATCACAGTAATAACAGCTCAGGCACCGTTAATTAGAACAGTTTAACGAATAAATTTTTGCAGCCTCGAGCGAAAACCATTCAACTGTGACAGACATGAACTCAACAAAAACGCGTAATGTCATGCTAAAGTCACCAATTAATGTCATCTAGTTGAGGCCAACGCCGAACTTAAGGAAAGCCATTGCATCAGCAGCAATGCGCAGATGAATGGAGGTGAATGCAACGTCACGATCTCGCTCGGCGTGGTAGCGAAGTGGCCGCCCCAACATCCACTCTGATGACATCTATGCAAAAACCATAGACATCTCAGAGATCATTGGACACGGGCTGTCTCTTTCATAATCGGTTCGTCGAACAGCGCCGCCAGGGCGCCGAAGGCGAGCGGCACACAACAGAGAACCGCGGCTCCGGCCGTGGCGTCCATACAGCTGCCCATTGACTAGATTCGTCCGCCGCCGGTCGCGCGAGAACCGTGCGCCCACGTCGGTGCCGTCGGGTCCGGGTTCTCAAATGTTTCATGTACGGCCTGGCGGCCCTCAGGGCCCTGAAGTGACCCCCGGTGACCCTCTGGCGACGGGCGGGCGCGGAGATGCGCGGATCTCCAAGGAGAGCCGGCTGCCGGCCTTCCGACGGGACAGAGCTCGGCTCCGGTGCGTGTGGAACGCTGACGGCGGCGGCGGATTTTTGGCAAACACCCCACCGAGTACGGCGGAGCTCCCAGCACGACATCACCCCCCCCCCCCCCCCGCCCCTACGTCCCCGAGTTGCGCACGAGGCCAGCCGCGGCACGCGCGCCCTACAAACAGCGGTGCTCCACCTTCTTGGTCCTGCACACCTTGCACTTGACGTCGCAACACCACTTAAACGTGCACTCGCAGTGCTCGAGTACCTCCTTGATCTCCGTGTGGTAGCCGCGGCCGCAGCACATGAGTTCGCAGCCGTCGAGGCCGCTCGACGTGTCATTGCAGAGCCGGCCCACCGTGCCTGGGAAGCCCAGGCGCTGGTTCTTCTGGCAGAAGTTGGGCGAGTCCTCGTAGTAGACGAGGTCGCTCTGCGTTGGCGGCTTGTGGTGCTGTTTCAGCGGCTGCAGCTGGAAGTTGTAGCGCTGCCGGCGGCGCGAGCGCCGCACACTCTGCACGGCGTTGGAGACGCGCACGCGCGTGGCGCCGTCAAACTCGCCCTTGAGGTGGTCGCCGACCTGGCGGAGGGACGGCAGCCGCATCCAGCAGGTTTTGACGGCGCAGCTGCCGCTCATTCCGTGGCATTTGCACTGGCGCACCATCTCGCTCGAAACGGCCTGAAACGGACGGAGATCGCGGTCATTCGCAAGCTGAGGTGGCCGCCTGGTGACTGATGGGAGTTTGGAAAGCCGTCCCGAGTGGGGTTTGTCACCGTAGACTGCTGGGGGACTGGCCAGGTGAGGAGTGGTGGTAAACAGCCGGGGAGCCTGAGTCTCATTGCTACTGATTATATGGGCAAGGCGGCCTGCGGTAAGACAGGACTTTTGGTTGCTTGACTGTCGGCAACGTGGAGAGTGCGCTTAAGTGACTAAGCGTAACGTAAAGCAGCAGGGCTGTTGATACGAAAGTACAAGAGAATGGTAAATTATGGCGATCCCTGCCTTAAATCGCAAAAACTGGTGGTGGTTGCAGTCGAGAAATAAGCATTAAAACAACAGGTAGCTGCCAGCGAAAAGCTAGAAAACACCGATGAATGTGTTCACGTACTAGAAGCCATTAGAACTGGCGTCTAAGGACCTCGGCCTGTGAGGGCCACCCTTTGTAAGTGGTTTTCATGGGGCGCTCAAGGGGCTGTCACACGCTCTATTGCGTCACAGCGCGCTCCGACGGACCCCCCAGCCGGGCCTGCCCGCGCCACACCGTCACGAGCGGCCGCGGTGGCGCCAAGCGTCACACTCGCCGCGTCGCCCATCTTTTTCCGCGCTCGCCGCCACTAAACGGAGGGCGGCCCGTCAACTGCCGCTCTCCGGCAGGGGCCGCCTGACAAAAGAAGAAAAACGCCGAGCGGCTCGCGTGACGCGGAAACGACGCGCCATTTTTGCGCGCGGCGCGTGATTTACGGAAAGGCTGCGCGTGAGAGGCGACCCGGGGCGGCGCTCCGCTCTGTCTAGGCGGGCACGTTGAACGCAGTGTGCAGTCTCTCTCCCCCTCTCACCTCGGATGCGCCCGCTGCCCAGGCTCAGCTCACACCCGCCCAACGTGTCATTATCTGCTCTAAGTGTGAGGCGTTCCATCTCGGCCAGGGCGATTTATGACTAATGCAGTTCTTATGCAAAACGCAGTGCCGTTGTTACGAGGCGGATAATTGAAATTAGCAGCCTCATCTGGTGCGCTATCTGCGGCGCGCGCATTACGTGCGCGTCGCGGCTTCAAAAACCGAAGTCATTTCGAGGACTTTGATGGCGAAGCTGCAGAGAGCAGTCACGGGAAAATGACATGTAAGAGTGCAACGCGTGTTCCCAGGCTGTCCGAGCAGGGTGGTGGCGACAATGAGTGATGCGATGCAGAGCTCTCAGCGCTGGATTGTTCGGAAAATCAGCGTGGTTTGTCTTCGTTTATCTCCGGCGGACGGCACGGCTGGCAAAGACCCCGCATGACTGGCCGGAATTTCGCAAACGAACGGACCATTTGCTCCACAACAGGTTGCAATCATATCTCCACGCCCATCGGTGTGAGAAAGAATTCAGGCGAATATTTTTCAAACGCATTAAAATGCATTCTCATAGCGGCGCGGAGGTGTAATGATATGTTGGCCGGTGTAGGGCCATCTCGCTGATCACCGTCGGGCGCACCATCCATGATGCTGCAGAACTGGACCTTTTGTCCGCTTAATGGCGACTAAACGGGTATTTGGCCGCGGTTTGGTGTCATTAATCCACAGTGCGCTCGGCCGCCGGATTGATTCCGGCGTAATGCACTGTTTACCACTGTGTAATGCACGGATTTTGCGGCTATCAGACCGTTGGCGGCGGCGGCTTTAATTTCGCCAAGCCGCTGGCGGTGGAAGCAGCCGGTGGTCCCCTGGGACCATTATCCTTTTGTGCTCTCAGCCCGACCAGATGTTACGCAAATATTGACTCTTTGTGTGGCGCGGAGTATTAATTACAGCCCATCCTCGGTGACCGGCGGTAAAACTATACAGTCATGATAATGTCATAATTTAGCCGAGCGCTCTGGGGCGGCTTGGCCGCGCCAACTCGGCCACAATTGAATTAATGCCGCCCCGGCAGTAATCATTGACTCTTGAGCTCCGTCTGAATGCCCCAAATTACACGCCATAAAGTGCCGGACGAACACGGGCGCCCGTGAATATATAATTTGACCCGCTTGCGTGCGAGGTACGTGTTAACCATTGCCGGTCTTTCCCTGCGGAGGGCCATTAATAAAAACGCGCGCGATACCACACACGCTCCCTCGGCCGGGGCGCCGCCACCTTGAAGGTAATGTCTTAATGCGGGCGGCTGGGCGCCGCAGCGGAAATTTAATAAACTGGGCCGGCCGAGCGGCGCCGGCGGCGCCCGAGGATGGGCTGCCCACACCTACCACAGCGCCGCTGCCGCCGCCCAGCGCCGTTTTTGCATCGGCCGCCCCAAATGAGCGGCTGTCTGACCGCCTTAACGTCTCTTTAGACCGCTATTTTTACCGATTTGCACGCTTCTCGGCCGCTGGTCCCGGCACAGATAGAGATGAAGGCCGCACAAAGGAGGTGGAATTCCTCCAATGAAAAATACACGCGGTGAATGTGAGAAATCACGGCCCCCAGTCAAAGGTGCGGACCGAGGGATCGTATATTTTTACAATGTGTTAATTCCCGGTGAAACCTGCTAACATTGTGCCGGCCGGGTCGGCGGTGGGCTCTTATTCAGCGGCGGCCGGTAACGAAATCGTTTAATGGCCCGGGCTGGCACGGTGAGTAAGCCCGAGCGCGCCGAGCACATCTGAATCATGAGCCCCTCCTCAAGCCTATGACGTCACTATGTGTGGCAACGGCGGACTTTTTTTTGCCGCCGGCGGCGGATGCTTCTGGAGCAGCCGGCTGCTCAACGCAGCGCGTGCGCTAACACCAAACGGCGACTCCAACGCGCCAGCGCGCGACTGCGCTGTGCGAACAAAAGGGGAACACTGGGTGACTGGCTTCTAGCGGTTAAATCACACTGCGCTCTATTTGTGCATAATAAACCACCCGTCATACATCACGCTGGTCGTCCTATTAACCTCTTCACCCATGTTACAATAACAAACGCCGGCATGAAAAATAGCCGGGCATGCATCGTCAAACTGCACCACCCCTCCAAGGCTGATCTGGCGGCGGCTCTGCACGTCAAACTCGACCCACTCGACAGTGAGTCTCCACTTCTGACTGAGCAAATACCGAGCATTTATACAAAACTTGAGCGGCCGGAGAGGACACACACGAGAGTCGAATGAGCGGGTGATTACTCGCGCGGCAGCGTGCAAACACTGAACGGCCGGCCTACCCCTCCCCCCCCCCCCCCCGACCGGACTACATTCGTCTGGCGGCGCATGGCCGGTACCGACCGACCAAAACATGGCACTTAGCGGGGCGGCCGATCCAATTGGCGATGGCGCGATAGCAGCGATGCCGGCCGATCTCTCCGGCCGTGGAGTTGTCAGATCGAAGCGGCGCGTGTGTAGGGCGGCGGCGCGGCGCGGCGCGGCCGGCCCGGCCCGGCGCGGACCGGACCGGACCGGACCGGACCGGCGCGGCCGCGGCGCAGTGCGTCCCCGGGCCCGTGCGCGGCCGGCGCGCCACGGTACGCGTGGACGATGTTGCAACCGATAGATGGATGGCGCCGCCGCTGCAGACGCGATGCGCTATTGTTCATTCACAATGACTGAGCACGCTGCCGCCGGCGCGTCGGTATTTTGTGACAAATGCTCCGAGACAAACGACAACCAGCGCCGGATCAATGTTGGGAACGTCGGCGCCGGGTGTTGTAAAAAGCAGCGCCAAGATCGATCCAGGTGAAACGGGCGCCGGACAGGTTTCGCGGTTGTTGAATTTCCCATTCATCAGTGTCGGCGCGGCGGTCCGGGCGCGCGCTCCCACATCACGCGCACCATACCTTTCCATCACCTGGGATTCTTCAAATGCGTTTTCTCTGAAAAAGCACTACGCGAGTCGACGGGCGGAAAAAGTGGGCTGTCTGGGAATGGCTCGGGGGTCAAGGGCGCGCTCGGTCGAGCTGACCAGAACTCGGACGGGAGTTATGATGGCGAGGGACAGGAGTTATGACATACTTTCCGGCCCGGGCATTTATCATCAAGCGCTTTGGAGACGCCGGGACGACAGTCGCATTCACGCAAGCATTTGCGGCTCGATGGGCATATTTCACTGCGCCATCTTTGGGGAGACGACCAAAAATTGGCGGCCGACTACGCAGAGGTCCTTTAACTGTATATTGCGCCTATGACATAGAAAAGATAGTGCTACCGTTCGCACACTTCATCTACCATGCGGTTGAATGACACGAGTATGTTTCATATGTCAACCTTAAGGCTTGCTGTGACGAAATCGGAAAAGCAAGGAGTGCATGAAACACCATATGTTGATATATTTTGCTATAGGAACTCCTATAGAAAAGAAGTCTTGATGGCAATAGGTACGCTGTAAGAAACGCACCAGATAATATATGCATATATATATATATATATATATATATATATATCCGTTCTGCAAGAACCACCCCGAGTTCCCAACTATCCAGCTGGGGGGGATTTGCCTCCCCTGGTGCCCAGCTCACCCTGCGTCCAGCCTCGTTGTTGTGGATGTTCATCATGTAGCGCATGTCCATGCCGCGCTCGCTGGCGTCGACGAAGCGGCGCGAGAAGCGGTAGCCGAACTGGATGTTGTCCGAGCAGCCTCCCCACTGCCAGTCGCGGCCGCTCGCCTGCCGGTGGTGGTAGCCGCAGGCGCACGAGCGCACGCTGCCCTCCGAGCAGGAGCGCGACACGGCGTGCGTCACGGCCGCCGACGTTATCGCGTACAGGAACGCCGTCTCCCGGCACGCTGCAACGAGTCGATCGGGTCAGACGCGGGTCAGCCGCGGACGACCTGGCTGGCTACCGGGCAGGCCAGCGGAGATGGTCACAGTTGACGGGTGCGTTAGCAATCTGGGCTTCGGCAGGCGCGACTTAGGTTGGTTCCTAGTGTGTCAAGCCTGGGGCAGTGCTGGGTCAGGGGCTCATTGTCTACAGCTTGCAGGCGGTCTCCAGAAGGGCCATCAGTTAATTAAATCTAAGAATGACAGACGCGTCGCAAGTGGGTATGCCGTCGCGGCTGGGCTATTTTCGGGTCACTGACAGTCTAGAGACGGGTTGCTGACCGTGTCTGGGATTGGAGCAGGTCAGGGGGCGGGTCGAGGTTGAGCCACGCTTGGATCAAAAGGCCATGCAGGAGATCAGCGCCATGGGAGGCCCCGCCAATCCGACTCTCCATCCGTGTTGACAGGTGAAGGCAGTGCTGCATGCTGCAAAAGGCTGTGAGCGTCCTAATTTACATCACTATGACTTCAGTGAGAGAACAGGAAAGCAAGAACGGCCGATGGATGAAAGGAAGACGGGCTAAAATAGCATGGAGTGCCAGCGGCAACGCAAGGAAAGATAATCACGTGACAAGGAAAATCCCGGTGGTGAGGATTGTTTTGCACAGTGACATGAAACGACGGCATCACGCATACTGATTAATAGCCTCAGGCGTTTGGGCATCAAAATGAGCGTAGTTTTTCCCTATCAAACATTACCGCACTCCCCTATAGCCCCAACGCAACATTTTAAAACAGCTTATGAGCTGTATTAAGCCGATTTCGTGAGGCGCGGTCTCCACACTACCTTAGACCGACTGGCAGCTTGCCACTCGGCCACTTCCGCGCTGTGACCACGACCTCAGACCACCGCCGGCCTCCCACCCGACCACTTCCACGCTGTGACGATCTGAGACACTGCGACGCCCGACGTTCCCATACGTCAGGCGCGGGGCCTGATCCTGGTAACAGGTCGGCACGGGCTGGCTCACAGGGTCCTTGCGGGGCGGCCGGTGGCCCTCTCTGTCTCAGCGCCCACGTCTCCGCCCATCAGCAGCCGGCCCCGGGGTCTGCGCGGCTTTATAGCCTCTTAAACTCTTCGATCTTATCTAATTAGATTAGAGGAATGACGTTAACATGCGGAATTTCTCTCGCTGGTTGCATCCATCGGATCGCGTTATGTCAGCTGATCGCGTCCGCGAGCGGCCGAGCAGCCGGCCCGACCGGCCGCGGTTCAAAACAACTCGGCTCCGGCTACAATGGGGCCGGAAACGCGACAGAGGACGGGTATGTTTCCAAATTCGGCTGATTATCTATTGTTCCGTGTCCATTTTCCGTCGTAAATTAGCTGGAATGCGTGGAGGAGATGAAATAATTGGGGGTTGTGTCGGGACGGTGCGGGCTGGAGTCCATCTGGCGCACGTGCCCCCTCCCCCCCCCCCCCTCCTCCTCCCCTCCAGGGCGTCACCTGCACTGTCTCGCAGGCCTGCCGGGCTGCCTCTGGATTAGTAATATCGTGGCCGGCCGGAGCAGGTGGGCAGTGGTGAGGCAAATATCCCCCCAGTCCATCTGCCGGCTGTAATCCAGACGCGGCTAATGGCCGACCGAATACGCGTGTTAAAAGTGGCCAAATGAGTGTGTGAAAAGGAGCCAGTCCGGGGAAACGTGTTTATCCGGACGTTTTAGGACGTCTAAAAGCTCATCAAACATTCTGCGTGATGGCCCCTGGTAGGCGAGATTCCTATTTCGGATGGTACGTTCGTTAGCGTTTCCATCAATGACCATAAATTACACGAATTCCTATCAAAACAAACACATACGGCCTGGACACGGGAAATGACGTATCGCCGAAGATCTGGGAACTAGATCGATTTGTTCCTTCACACTGTAAGCCTTGTTTTCTGTTATCGGCCGATCGACCATCATTTATAATGCCCGTGTCACTGTGATCGGCACCCGCTGGGAAGCGGACTTCTCGATCTTCACAAGGCATTTGATCATCTATCAGGATTGCCTCGCAGCTTGTCAGCACCAGTCGAAACAAATGTACTGCAGACCGTGGCGTGAGTGCATTCTAAAGTGGATTAGCGTTGCATGGCCGCCAAATCGTTTTGTCGTTGCGGAAACATTATTTATAGCCTGGGAGCGGTGTCTGTCGGGGGACGTCGTCGCTCCGAGCATTTTTATTAGCCCGCTCACATCTTATCGCAGAATACCGCAATGATCTCAACGAATGAATGACTGCTATTCAGGACGGCAGCGTGCTCCGACCGATGCTCGGTATTCAATCAAAGTGCTCTCCGCGGCGAGGTAATAACTATTTACCCTGGTTCTCTCTGGGGTCGAACCATTGAGCCCGCTCTCACCCACCTACCCTGCCTCGCATGAGCCGACCACACATCATAATTAGCCTCGCATAGCTTCAAAGGGTTTATCGCACCACCCAGGTGGCGGCGGGGCTCTGTTTTTGTGCGGCGCAGTCTTCCAGCGGTTTTGGATTTACTCGTACGGTGTAATTGACTGGCGGCGCCGCCCACCGGTATAAATTACTGCTCTCGCCGGGCCGCTCCCGCGCTCTTCCCGCTCTGCCGGCGGGGCATCACCTGGCCGCTGGGCCGGCCGCCACAATGCCCGGCGTCAAAGCGCGATTGGTCACGGCGCTGCGCGGCGGCGTCGGAGAATCGCGTGCGCCGCTCGACGCCGCCACGTCTCCATCGCCGCTGAATGGGGCCGGCGCGCTGTGACATCGCGGGCGCTGTTTGCGCGTCGTCGTCGCCGCGGCGGCCCCTCTCCCGGCGGCGTGGGGCGGTCGGCAGCTGCGGCCGGGGCGGAGGCGGCGGTCGCCGCGGCGGCGGAGCGAAGACGCGGCGAGCACGCGGCTGCGACCACCAGCGATTGGAATCTGGCCCTCGCCGGGGATAGCTACGCACACGGAAAGCGTCGGCATTAATCTCGTCAGCGGTGAAAGGACTTTCGGCGAAGCGGGCCAGTTTCGTGCCTAACTTTCGGTAAGCCTGCACAACGGCTGCAGCTTGTGCGAAATTGGATACGCATTGACAGGCGCTATTGCGTGCGAGATCAGCATATGATTCAGTCAAAGCTGGCATATCCTCACGCAGTCAGTGTGTCTGCAGCAACTTATGCATCAGCGGCGCTGGAATGCCGTGGAATCCTTCTCGCACAGACCCAGTAATTACCTGAAGCCCCAGGAAATCGCACCGCTGTAAGCCAAACGAGTCGCGACTCACCGTCAGCGAGCATTAGCGCAGAGCCCGTCGCGCGCTCGCACCAGGCGTAGTCGGGCCGGGGTCGAGCTCTGCCAGCATTACGTCAGTTTATTACCCCCTCCCTCCCGATGGTATCGCCAGCGCGGTGTGCACTTGTAACCCGGCTAATTCAACCGCGCCATTAGACGGCGGGCGTCATTTATCGCGGGCGCTATTTGTATGAGTTCATCTCTTCATTCGACGGTCACGGCGCGCCCATCACGGCGCGGGTCGGATCCGTTTCGGCCCTGCTCATCGATCAGCGACTGGCGCGCGAAGACAATGAATAATGGCGCGTTTTGCAATGCGGCATGACCGGCTTGACCGCCGACCCTTGCGACCGGAAACGACGCACAGCGTGCTCTCGGAGAGGCCGCGGCGCCGGCCCGGCCTGGAGGCCGGCGATGCCGTGGTCATCGCCCCTCCGGTGTGTGCTCTGTCGACTCACGGAGTGCACGGCGACGCTCAGAGTCGGCCGGCTGGTGACGTCACGTCGCCATGGTGACGTCACGCGGCGGTGCGGCCAGCCGTGAGCGGTTCGTGACGCCGCTGCGCCGGCCAGGTGCAGCGGCGCTGTCTGGGCTGTCGTCACCGGGTGCCGCCCTCGGACGGCTGGGTCGGGGAGTCCACCAGCGCTGCGACACACTGCTATGTCCCCCGCTGTAATGCGGATGCCTTAGAATCACTCGGTGTGAGATCTACATGGCAGCCCCGTGGCTAGCTCAGCCACGCCCCTCCGGCATCAGCTGCCCCTCTAAATGGGACCGGTCGGCGCTCGAGCTATCCCCGCTGATCTCCGAGCGTGCGGACGCGTCCTGCCCCACCCGCCTGCTGGGTTTCGCGCCCGCCGCCGACGGCCAGCCGTCAGCAGGGCGCGCCGGCCACCAGAGCAGCCGCGCGGCCGTCTCGCTCGACACTAAACACTCTGATTTATCCGATGGCGCTGCAGCGCCGAGCGTGCCGCTGGGCCTGACCTCGGCCGCCAGGGCCGGCGCATTGTTGTCGGCGGCCGGCGGCCCCGTCCGGCGCGCCACCGGCCCGGCCCATTGCAGTAAAACAATTACCCGCGGTCGATTCTCCACGGGCGAGGGCGCACACCTGGCCGGCGCCGCTCGTCACCAGGGCAGTGCGCCGGCCAGTGAAGGCGAGGCCGGCCGGAGCGCGCGCTGCCTCGGCCACCTCGCGCGGCGCGCGAAACCCGCTCAACGTCGGCCGGCACAAAGGCGGCCAGCCACCGCGCGCAGCTTCGCCCTCGCGAGCGCGTACGAAATGGCGCGTCGGCGGCGGAGGACGCGCGCCGGGTCAGCGCCAGCGGTTGGGTCACGTCCAGGTGTAGTGACCGCGGCTGCGGCCGCGCCCAGCAAAGGTTTTTGCAGTCGGTTGCCACGTTCGTCCCGCTCCTCGACGCACGGTATTGCTGAGTGCATTAGCCGGTAATGAAACGATTTTACAGGGTCGCGGCGTAGCCGGCGCCCGAGCTGACAGCGGCCGGCGGCCGGCCAGTTTTTGAGCCGGCCTCCGCCGTGCGAAGACCGCCAACCCCTTTGGTGAGCCATGGGAAGCATGCGCGGCTGGTGTCCCACGTTTGTGTTGGAATCTCGACGCGGACATTCCCGATCCGACAAAGGCTTTGATTTATTCACGTTAAGTGCGCGCGCCGGCCAAAAAGCGCATTTCTGACGGACTGGTCATTCCAGCGGAGCGCGAATGCGACATCGCCTCGGGCCGGGGCAGCCCGCCACCGCGCCGGCGCCGGACGCCGAAGAGAGGTCGCCCGCCGCGACCTAGCTGGAGATGACTAACACGCCCGCGCGCCGACCACAGGCCGCGCCGCGACCTCCGCCGACGCTGCGGCCTTGCGTGGCATTTCCGCGCGAGCGCGCAGGAAATGGCGCGGCGGCGGCGGAGGATCCCCGCCGGGTCAGCGCCAGCGGTTCGGTCACGTCCAGGTGTAGCGGCCGGCTAGGTCGGCCCACCTGTCGGCGGTCAGAGGGCCGGCTGGGGGTCCCACGTGTTCCCACGGCTGCAGCGGCGATGGGCGACCGCCGGCGGAAGCAGGCGACGGTGCCCGGCTGGGGTCGGGGGACCGCAGAGGGAGGAGTGCGGGAGAGGAGCGGTCAGAGATGTGGGGTGCTGCGGAGAGCCAGCCGCGGTGTGGTGACGGCGGGGTGTTGCTGAAGCATGATGACTGGATGCCAAGCCGTGCAGCTGGGGTGAGGGTCTTTCCAAGAGGAGAGAGATATCAGGGCGACCGAAACCTCAGTTCAGCAATCCGTCGGACGCACGCTTGTGTATGGTTTCCTTTCATGATTGTAAGTGGGCCATCTCCGTGAACTGGCGCTGACTCTGTGGACGTCCACCACAGTCACTCAGGGAACGTCCATTCTGAACCGATTACTCTCCAGCCTACTGCCACTTACAATGAGTTTGTGATGGTCCCCGCCAAAATATCCATCCCCAGTCCCTACCTTGCGTCAGCACCATCTCCCATACGTTTCTCAGCCCAACTAATGTGCCAACACTGCGACCCCTTTGCCTTGCCCTGAGCCCGGCTCAGCAGCGTGACACTCACCGGTGTTCACAATCCGCCCGAACAGCCGCCTCCCGCGCATGCGCTCCTGGGTCGGGCAGTTCCAGCGCCGGTCGCGGAACTGGTGCTGGCACTCGGCCACCGCCTGGCGTGTGCCGCTGGCCACCGCCTTGATGACGCCCTGGTTCTCTCGCGCCAGGCGGCGCTGCTTCTTGCGCAGGGAGCTGAACGGGTTGAGCGGGTAGAGCGAGCCCGGGTAGCCGCCTCGCATGCGGTTGCTGCGTAGATCGTTGGAGGGCGCCGGGTCAGCCTCGCCGCTGCCCCCCTCCGCCAGGTGAATCACCCCCCTGTGGGCGGAGGCGCCGGTCAGTCGGGGTCAGGGGTGACGGGGCTGGCCGCCGCCAGAGTCGCGTTACGGATGAGGGCACGGGGCAGCCGTGAGTGGCGAATATTAGTGGTCGTGAGATACGTTTAGTGGGTTGAGTTGGCGGGACGAATGACGGAATGAAGGGGATTTGATGACGTCAAACAGTCCTAGGTTGGAATTTTAAGGCTCGCTTAGGTTTGCACTTCAGACAGCTTTGATATCCACTATTGACCTGTGGTCGGTGTATTTGCCTACAGCGTGCAGTTGGCTTCATGTCTTTATTTGACCTGGTGACTGAGAACTGGTGTAAACTCTCAAAAACGCTCCAAAACTTGAGAAACCATCGTTTGCGCACGGTATCATGCGGCTTTATGTACATATCGAGCCCCACTTGTGCCAATACGATAGTCCGTTGTCTCCCCCATCGGAATATGCTAATCCTGTATCGCTACCATGATGGGCCATCGAGATCTGGACCTAGTCCCACTCATGTTCTTCGGGCTTTCACAAATGGATAGCATAAGGTGGAATGCCATACGTTTGAATGATAGAGGTGGAATCGTGACGATATTGCAGTGTTCAGGAAGAGCCTGTCCGAAAAAAACAGCTTGCATGCCAATGTCAACACTTTAAGCGGCACTGCTATAGAATTAGGCTCCATGTTGTTGAAAACTGCATGAGACCACAGTCGTTGGCTGGAAAGAATCCGTTTCTAGCAAACGTGACGGTCTGAATGGACCGTTAGAGCTACGTTCGTCCGCAGTTTAACTAAGACTCGTTCAGACCATGGCTTCGCTAAGAAAGTTCCTGAAAGAAATGAAGGGAGCAGAGATATCCAGAAGATAAAATAAGTAATACGAAAATCACGTGCGTTCTCAGAATATCTTCAGTGAACCGTCTCAAATCGCGAGTTCTCGTGCGCAGCGTTACGAGTCGCTAAACCAAGAGAAGTGCTCACAGAGTAAAGCCATCTGTCTTATCTCTCACCGCTGCCTGAGCCGGCCACCTCACAGCTGACACCTCCAGCCTGGCGTGTGGGCGCGTGTGCTTCTCGCTTGTCCACCCTAATAATGGGTCATTATTACATCACAAGTCGACCGGTGGGTAGAAAGGTCCGAGTATTCCGCGTCTGGCCTTCAAACCCCGCTCAAAAACCCGGATCAATGCCGGCCAATCAGTTAACTCTCATCGCCTGACATCTTAATGCAAGTCGTTTGCTTTTCGCGCCGTCGGTTTTTCGAGGCAGGTGACTTCTTGCGACCGTCCAGCTGCCATAAATTACCCCTTCCCGGCAGCGGGACTTCCTCGCCATTTGTACCGCAGCCGACACAAAAACCCAGAGTGGACTACTAACCTGGAATAAATCGCCATTCCGTCGATCGGTCGTTTTTAGGGGGCGCGACGACAGGCGGGCCATTTGTCCCTGCTAATGAAGCGAGGAGCCGCGCCACCCTGGTAGTGGCGCAGTAACTCTAGCGTGGCGGAGAGCCCCCATCGCCCTCCGACGCGACGCCCCTGCCGCCGAGCAGCGCCGCCAGGGTGGCCAGCGGTGGGGGGCGGCGGCGGTGGACGGGCCGTCCAGCTGCTCGCGGCCGGTGGGCCGTCGAGATGGTATCGGGGGGACCGCGGGTGCGCTGGACTGGTGAGGACGGCAGGAGCGATCGTGTGTGTCGCTGGGTTGTCGGTGACGAGGAGAGGGTCGCTGGGACCTTGACATTGGCGCAAGGCAGTTTTGACTCGTTTTCACCTCAGCGTGATGCATGCTATACAGTTTCTTGTCCATGCCAGTTGAATGACTGTGTATTTATTGGCAGTGGATCGTGTTCTGCATCATCTGATGTAAATATTCAGTTACAAACGCATAAGTAATTTACACCGCAAGGTAGAATACAGATTTGCGTACAAAAGTAATAATTATTTTTTCTTAGATTTGTGTGGATTGATGTCCTTAAGAACAATAACTATCCTCATTTCACTGTGTCCTAAGGTTCTTGGTATTCTCCGGCAAGCTACAGAAATCTCAAATGTAAATCCCGTCCCGCTGCCCAATCGCCAGCACGTGGCCAATCGGAGCGAGCAGCAGCCACAACTTGCGCCACCCGGACAGTGTCAGCTCCTGGCAGAGTTAGTGCCACCTTCCCCGGCGACCGTTCAGCATCTAACGCCCACCCTAGCCGAGGGCGTTGTTTTTTACCCGCGTGATCTTATCGTAATGCAGAATACGTGTTAAGTGACGCACGACATCCTTACTGCTGCCGTCCCAAAGTCCTGCTAGGCCCCAGCGAGCGTAAATCCATCCGCTGCAATCACGCCAATCAATTAACCCTGGCAAGTGCTTTGTACGTATTAAACGTTGTTTAATTTAGTCGGGGAGTGCGCCCGGCGCGACAGATTAGTCACGATACTGTTCGCCGGCACTTGGCCGAACATTAGCTGCTGAGCTGACCGGAGCTTTAGCGTCACGTCACCGGAGGAGCGTCCCTGTCAGCGGGACGGCTGCGCTCACCGCCGCCAGCGGCGCACGCTGCCATGTTTATCGCCCTTGAGTCCCGTCACTCTCCCGCTAGTGCGCACCACTGTAAACAAATCAGTGCCGAAGTTTGACGGCAGAAGTTTTGCGCCGCCGTGCCGCCCGCGGTCCGACCGCGGGCAGTTTAGCATACTCAAACAGGGCGAAACGTAAGCCGCGGCTCGCGCTCGCTACTGTTTACTCTGCTCATAAAGTGTATCATCAGCGTTTAGAGTCAACCGGTGCTGTTTTGACAGGTCGGGCGACGGGTTGGAGGCCGCCGGCCGCAGCGCCGAGGGCAGCCTCGAGCTCACACCCCGTCGGCGGCGCGGAGGCGGCGGTGGCGGCGGCGGCGCGCGCGGCCGGTGGCCCCTGCCGAGGGTGGCGGCCGCCGGCGGGGGGCGCGCGGCGCTGATTTGTTGTCCGGCCCGGTGACAATGGGGACGCGGCGGTGACTTACTGCCGGCGCGGCGGCCGCCGTCTGTTTACAGCGTCGCCGCCGGATAAATCAGGGCTCGACACCCATGGGAACAGAGCGGCCGCCGCGCGCGGCCCCTGGCCCCCGGCCTCCCACCAGCGCGGCGTCACGGCAGTCATGTTCGACGGTGCTCGCCCGGTGCTTACACCGCTGTGGAATTCGGTACAGGGGATAATGTATGTACATTTATTAATGAGATATGAAGACGTTAGAGAAGTCAATTTAGCCGCCCTAGAGTAGACTGTGGCGTCGCATGTGCAGAACCAGTGCAAATAAATAGAAACCGTCAACTGTCTCAGTGAACCAATTGGAATATGGCCCACGCCGGTTCATTTTTGTGCCGCGACTCCGTGCGGTTCGTATGAAAGCAATGGTATCAACAATGAAGTAAGCGATACAAGTATTGCAAAGACTCCCTCAGCTGCAGTAATCTAAATTGATCTGCAATTGCACCTACGCATGATCTGACACGCATACGCAGCGAACCCATGACTCCGTCAAACCGATGGCAATGGTGAAGCAACGGCTTTTCAAGCGAAGCGAAGGCCTCGCCAGGACATCACAACCCCAGTGGAGATGTTGCGCCATGGCAGCCAAAGACCGCAGCGGAGATGTTGCGCCATGGCAGCCAAAGGCCGCAGCGGAGATGTTGCGCCATGGCAGCCAAAGACCGCAGCGGAGATGTTGCGCCATGGCAGCCAAAGACCGCAGCGGAGATGTTGCGCCATGGCAGCCAAAGACCGCAGCGGAGATGTTGCGCCATGGCAGCCAAAGACCGCAGCGGAGATGTTGCGCCATGGCAGCCAAAGACCGCAGCGGAGATGTTGCGCCATGGCAGCCAAAGACCGCAGCGGAGATGTTGCGCCATGGCAGCCAAAGACCGCAGCGGAGATGTTGCGCCATGGCAGCCAAAGACCGCAGCGGAGATGCTGCGCCATGGCAGCCAAAGACCGCAGCGGAGATGTTGCGCCATGGCAGCCAAAGACCGCAGCGGAGATGTGGCGCCATGCGCCAAAACCGCAGCGGAGATGTTGCGCCATGGCAGCCAAAGACCGCAGCGGAGATGTTGCGCCATGGCAGCCAAAGACCGCAGCGGAGATGCTGCGCCATGGCAGCCAAAGACCGCAGCGGAGATGTTGCGCCATGGCAGCCAAAGACCGCAGCGGAGATGTTGCGCCATGGCAGCCAAAGACCGCAGCGGAGATGTTGCGCCATGGCAGCCAAAGACCGCAGCGGAGATGTTGCGCCATGGCAGCCAAAGACCGCGCGGCTCCGCTCCTCAGCATGGTGGCAGCGCAGCAAAGGCCGGAATGCCGGCACTGCAGCGCCAGCGGCCGTCTTCCGTGCGTGAGGGGCCGCCGCGCCGAGGCCCCACCTGCAGGAAAAGCCGCCGCCGGGGGCGGGGCGGGGGTGGGGCGAGCGTGCTGCGCCGTCAGCCGCCCCGTTCGCCACAGCCCAGCTGCAGCGGGGCCGCCGGGCGCGGCCGCCGCCATTGCCGCCCGACGGCTTCCGGCTGGGAAGCGGTCGGGCTGTGCGGTGCTCGTGGACTGTGGCGCTGGCAGCGCCGCAGCAGGCTGAGTGGCTCCGACAGCTGAGTGCGTGATTGTTGCTCTGACGATCTGATCCTGCCTCTGTGATGAACAACGATCTCGCTGGCCGCAAGATTATGCTGTTTTGGTCTAAAGTCGATCAGTTCGCTGAGGTGATCATACACCGACAGCAGTCTGCGGGCCTCGGACAGCAAGCTCGCTCCTATGACCCTGGAAACAGGCCGCCATATAGGGGGACAGTCTGCATGACTATGACGTCAACGGAGGCACAGACCACTAGTGTTATATTGGAGCTGCCCTGTAACACATGTGTAGCACCCTTAACAATGCGCTAACGCGTTTTCGGTAGAGTTTTCTCCCGCCCTGTCAGACGAGTGCTCGGTGCAAAGAACTTGCCACTGTTGTTCATACGACAAGCCCTAATAGCTTGCTCCCCGCACCAC